GATTGTACACACAAGTGGGCTGCTCATCTCTGGCAGACCTGGTGCCCCATACTTGAAGACAATTTCATTAGAGCTCAGATCACTTCTGAGCAAACACTAGGATGAGAAGGGGGAAAAAATGAAGAAACCCATCCACAGGAGAGATTTAGGGACAAATATGACATGGTTTACATCCTTCACCCCTAACTCTGTTAGAAACCAAAGGCCCAGTTGCTCACTGCTGGTTCCTATTTGGAAATGAGTCTTCAGCAATATATAGCGTCTCATAATGGGAAACACAGCAAGTAGCATTAAATATTAGCAATAGCCCTAATGAAAGGACTCTGTGTTTAGAGAGCTTGAATAAGAAATTGAAGGCTCCTGTTGTTGATCTAAGGGAGGTGTGTTTGTTTCCCTCTAACCTTGCAGAAACACTGGCACGGGCAGTCTGGACTTGGGGAGTTTGCTTTGAGTCCCTGGGAAGAATTGTGGGTACACAACCATGCAAACATTGCTCCAACTCCCAACCTTCTTGTGCTGAGTTTATGGGAAACAGAGACCCGTTATGTTCGTGGAGCCTTGACATGGTGCTGCTCACTCACATGGGGCTGGTGACTAAACCATTTTCCAGGTTAATTTGTCGTGATAACTGTTCAGAGCCCAGGGACGAATTCTGTCTTATATTTGGCTAAAGTGGCAGAATTGACAACCTGATATCATGGTCTCTGGAGATACGACAGCTAATGCTAATGCATTGGGCAGGATCTTATCACACGTGCTCAGGATTTACAGTTGTTGCTGTTGGGAATACAGTTGAATTAAACCTTCTTGGAGGAAGACATGGGTGACGACCTTAGAAAATCTGGACTTTTCTTTGGCATTTGTCAAGGATATCTGCTGGGCATGAGCTCCCAAGCCAAACACATCTTCAATCAGTTTAAGTTTTGTAGTTCCTCTAGTCCCATGGTCTTGCACAAGAAATCGGCCATTTCTGACCAACATCACTTGAGGTTATGGAACAATAGGTTTGCTTGTCAAGAGGAGAATCATGATAAATCTCAGCTAAACCAGCAAAAAAATAATGTTAGTGTTCAGTACTGCAATTCACAGCATTTTAACAAAAAGGCTTTGTTGTGATAATAATCGGGATTTACCCAAATATGTTTTGTGAAGGAAATATCCCACTCTATTTAGCAGCAGTAAGACAACACTGAGAAATATAATTTATTTCCTTGTTTGCAGCAAAGACAGATGCATGTTTGTTCCCAGCACAAATTGGAGGAAGGTGAAAATGATTGTGCGGTTTATTGTGTTAAATAAAACCCTCTATTTTCTTTTCATCATGCCACACCTGATGTTGGAAAACAGGTACAGTGCGAACACCTGTCTCCCATAATTTCTTATAAGACAGAAGAATACTTATGAGACAGGGAGTGTCAAGGTAAGAAGCCCAGACTATGATGAGTGGTTTCTTTTTTTCTGTAGCATCATATATTTGCTTTCTCATTCGGTAAACTATAAAAATCTCAATTAGTGCATAAAAGAGTTACCATATTTACATCTCTGGCTTTCAACCTGCCCATAAGTACAGATGATTTATTGATTTTACTGTGCTCTGCCAGTAGGCAATTCTTCGGAGAAGCATGTTGTCAAAGGAAATACTGTTCATGGTTCTTCCTGAAACGAAGCCGTTGTTTGAAGCCAAGAGGCTCCTGTAATTTTCTTATCTTGCTCCGTTTATAACATAAATTATAGATTTGTCCATAGCTCTGCAGTTGCAAAATAGTTCTTAATTTAACCCCCAATTTTCCAGTCACCACAATGCTCTCAAGTACTTTCCTCATCAAGGGCTGAGACATCCCAGTTTTGATTTACCTGCTAGACAGCAGCAGTGCAAACCAAGAGCTGCTACTGCTACAAAAATGCTCATGGTGCAACATCCCAGGAGCCCATGGCCTCCGTGGTAACTTTTCCAGCTGGGCCAAAACTTACCTTGATTTATCAAATTGTGGGCCATTTGGTGTGTGCACTAATCACGGCTGATGGGGAACTCCACATCCTTCCCTTCAGCTGAAATGTCCTGTGCCACCGACATGGAGATGGTCTAATGCAAACACGTCATAGAGGTGACAAGTCAAGAAGTGACCTTCCACTTTTTTTTGTTCCAGCAGTTTATGGCCAGTGTTAAAAAAAAAAACAAAACTAATTTACCTGGAAAGGTCAAGTAGTTTTCCAAGTATTAAAAGATGAGAGAAGTCCCGTGTTGTGGGACTTCACCACATGCTTAAAGTTAAGCCTCTGCTGGTTGGTGGTGGACCTCAGCTGGCACTTACATGCTTTTATTGAATAAGTGCTTTATTGTACTGGGGCTTGCAGAAGTTTAGCAGCTCTTTGCGCTACACTAATAATCAAATGTTAACATTGGCCTCCTCTCCTTTTTTTTTGTCTAATATAGTTACCTAATTAATTTATCTGTACATTTAAATATTCTGTGGCAGTGCCTGCAGCTGGGACGCAGATATACTGGAAGCACAAGGACCATGGCTCTGTCCCAGTGAAGCAGTAGGATTTTATTGCACTGGCTTATTGATTACTTTGTTCTGTGCCTTTTTGGGTCCAGGCCAGAGAGGATGATGGTATTTTAAAACTTCCACAGAAAACCCCACAGTAGTTTTCAGTTTACCCAGTATCCTGTGGTTTCCTGCTTCCTCCTCAGCTGTCCCACCTTGTCCTGGCAATGTGGTGCTGCTGACTTTCCCCTTATGCCGGATAGAGTTGATCACTCTGATCCATGCTGGGAGGTGCAGAGTGTCCTGGAGAGGACAAGGGGCTGTGATTCAGCCCACAATGAGAAGGGGGATGCCTGGTCCAAAAATCAGGGAGAACTCTGCCCTGGGGAGAAGGGGTGGCATGAAGGTCCTCCTCCCTGCCCGAGGCTGCACATACAAGCAGCAAGGCAGAGTTGTCCTTGCTCACATTTTATCTCGGGAGTGCCCTGGGCAGCCTCTGAAACGGGCAATGAGCAGATGTTTGCTCTGCTCTTGCCTCTGCTGTGCCCAGCCACCATGGTGCAGGCAACGAGGGAGGAGGGACAGCACTTTGTGGAGGTTAGAGGGACGTGCTGTCCACTTACAGCAAGAGCAGGGAGCTGATTTTAACCTCCGGAGAGGAACAGGGGCTCTTGACACATAGACTGGTCATATAGGTCCCGCCCGGCCAATGGCTCAGTGAGGCAGAATACACTCTTGTGTGCAAGAGAAGGGCCCAGTGTGTGCAGAGGCTTGTTTAGCTGTTGTAAGGTATGTGCAGGGAGGAGAACATGACTTAATTTCACTTACAGATGCTGGCACAGGCTGGGAAACCACAGGAGGCTGGGAATACCCAGCTGTGCCTAAGCGGAGTGAACAGTGGCTGCCCTCAGCCCTGGAGCGGAGGGTGCAAGTGAGTTTGCAGGGTCAGAAGGCTGCAGGGTGAATGGGAGCCTGTGTTCAGACCTGAGGAATGACTGCCAAGGCTTTTTAATTGGGAGTTTGGGGAGCTGCTTGAATGAAACAACATGCATCACCTGGAGCCAGAGTAAAAGATGCTATTTATGGTGACTTCTGAGTGCAAACTAAATAGCAGGCTGTGCCTCGTGGAGGATCAGATGGACAATAACACCCGTGCCAAAGCAAGCTGAGCACAGTTAAAACTGGAGTTACTGTTTACATGTTAGTAATGAAGCGTGGGAGGAATCCAGTCCCAAAGCTCTCTGGTTTGGCTGCTCAGGTCCCAGAGCAGTGTCGGATGAGCAAGGAGGGAGTGAGCTCCTGCCCAGAGATGTAGAGGGGGTATGTGGCTTGAGGGAGAAGTCTATGAACAAAACAGAAGATGCTCTAAAATAGTGATAAGGAAGAAGGGAAAGGGCTTGTCCCTTGGGTGGTTGGAGGTGGTACTGTGGCTGTGCTGAGGGAGCCATCTCCCTGCCCAGAGCAGGAGGGAGGAGAAGGAACAACTGTAGGGAACTGGCAGAGATCTGACACTTGGACGCTGCCTCCAGTACAGGAAAAAACATTACAGAAAACCTCCAGATCTGTAATGCACATCTTGGTGTTTGGAAGCCAGTCTCTTGCCTTTAAGCTCTAACTCATTGTTTCCTTGATTGAGGTTTGTCTTTTGTAAGAGTGAATTTCCCTCGTCTCTGACTACCCCTGGGTCTTATTTGCTTCGGGGGAGACAAAAGTCCTCCTCTCTGCTCTTGGCAGAAAACTCCCTCCCCTTCCCACTGTGTAAATCAGGTCCATGTTCTTGGGGACCAGCATGGGGACAGCTCTTGAAGCAGTGCAGCCAGGGACCACCTGACCCTCTGCAGCTCCCAGCTTGGCCACGGACCCACATCAGCCACATCAGCATGCTGCAAGGAGCTGAGTGCCCCAAGACCAGCTGGGGACTCACCAGGGCCAAGCAGAGAATGACTGTGAAGATGCCAGAGAAGGACAGGGGGTGAGTTACTTGCTGTGAGCTCTGTCACAATTGCACCTTCCAGTGTTTATTCCTTCCTCTAGTTTTTAGCCATGGAACCTTTCAATTTTTGGAGAACAAATAAGCTCAGTGGAAATCAAATGAAACTCAAAGCTTTTTCCCTATGTTCCAAAAAGAGGATTTATTTAGTGGATTTTAGCGGTTTAAAATACACAGATCAGAGTGTTGTGGGAGGGGATATACAAGCAGGCATGACATTCACAGTTCAAGGCATTTAGGAAACATGGGCGCTCTGGGAATTCCTGCAATAAAGCATCAGCTCCTGATCCTGCTGGCACTCTGTGGGCAGGTCTCCCGGCGGTTTCAGGCACTTACTGGACATAAACAATGAATAGCCACAGAAAGCTCCCAGGAGAGACACTGGGTGGGGAAGTGCTGCTGTTTCCCAAGGAGGTAAGTGCTTGATTAGAGAAGGTATGGCTTTCACATGGCCATGTGCTCCAGTGAGGCATGGGATGCCTCATGTGCTTTAGTGAGACCAGATGCTGTTCCTTTGCTCAGGGAAAGTATCCTTTGGTTTCAGACTGCTCTGTTCTTCACACTTTCAAATATCTGCATCACCTTGCCTGCTGGTATGCAGCCCTCTCTCACGATGGTAATGCCACCTTCCCAGGGGAAGAATGAGAAAATTAGAATAATCCCCAAAGGGTGAAAGAAAGGGATGAGGATATAAAGGAACATCTTGGACCAGTAAAGCCATCCAAATGCTCAGGATATCCAAATTATAAAGTTGTGTAGCAAGAAGACCAGAAACTGTCAGAAAATAAAAACATCCACCAACACTGATCCTGCACTTTGCTCAAGAGTTTAATTTTCCATTAGAGATTTCCACTCAAATGACACCCCAGATCCAGCTAACAACACCTCTGCTTGTGCTGTTACATCATTGTGGATGAGCTCTTGTAGCACCTTCATTCTGGTGGTCTACAAGAAGTATACACCCTTCCTTTTAGAAGCATTCACCCTCCCACTTGAAGCATTTTTGCTCTTATAAGGCAGATTTTGCTTGCACAATCATGTTTCTCCTCATCACCTTGTTCTCTGTCAACACAGAGGTCCTCCAAGGACATCTTTTGTTTGTTCCACTTCATCAACATGTTTGCAAATGTCCCAGCACTCAAGAGCTGTTACTCTTGGAGCACGCTGTGCTGCCAGATTGATACTATTGAAGGGGATGAAAATATCCAAGGAAAATGCAATTGTTGACATATAAAGGGTAGTTCTTACACTCACTTTCATCAAACTTTGTGCAGTTGACCACAGTTGATGCCACCACCTCATCAGATTCTCCATCACAGAGAACACCCTCCAGCTTATGGCCAAGACGTCTGTAGGGAAAAAAAAAAACAACAACAAAATGACACATTACTTGATATTACATTGTGCTGAAGTTCCCCTCAATGCAGGGCATCAAATCATGATCTATACACCACTTAAATTTGATGGCCACCCCCCTGACAGGGGGTTTGCACTTTCCAGATGAACATGAGCCAGCACTGTGCCCAGGTGGCCAAGAAGGCCAGTGTATCCTGGCTTGCTTCAGAAATAGCGTGGCCAGTAGAGACAAGGAAGTGATTGTCCCCCTGTACTTGGCAATGGTGAGGCCACACCTTGATTACTGTGTTCAGTTTTGGGCCCCTCACTATAACACGGACATTGAATTACTCAAGTGTGTCCAAAGAAGGGCAATAAAGCTGGTGCAGGGTCTGGAGCACAGGTCGTATGAGGAGCAGCTGAGGGAACTGGGGGTGTTTAGTCTGGAGAAGAGGAGGCTGAGGGGAGACCTCATCGCCCTCTACAGCTCCCTGAAAAGGGGTTGCAGAGAGCTGGGGATGAGCCTCTTAGCCAACAAGCGATTGGACAAGAGGTAATGACCTCAAGTTGCCACAGGGAAGGTTTAGACTGGATATCAGGAAGCATTTCTTTACAGAACAGGTTGTTGGGCATTGGAATGGGCTGCCCAGGGAGGTGGTGGAGTCCCCATCCCTGGAGGGGTTTAAGAGTCGGGTCGACATAGTGCTGAGGGATCTGGTGGAGTTGAGCACGATCAATGTGAGGTTAATGGTTGGACTGGATGATCTTCAAGGTCTTTTCCAACCCAGATGATTCTGTGATTCTGTGATACATAGAGCAAAGTACTCACGAGATGACCATGTCATGGTGTGTGCTGTCCACCTCTCCACTAGGATTAGCAGACGTGATTGCCAAAGGTCCCGTCATGTCAATGAGGTGCACCAGGACAGTCAGGTCGGGCACTCTGATCATGATACTGTCTTGAGTTCCCACTCTGCTGTAGCCTGCTCCAACCCCTTGAAAGACAGACAGAGGATGTTGGCAAAGGCAAGACTGACACAATACCTGGTATGGCATCAAGGGGAGACCTCCTGCTTTCTTTGTAAGTGATACTGATCCATACCACAAACAAAATTGAGTCTCTTTGTATGTGTTCAGAAAAGCAGCATTCTTGATCAGAAGTCCATGAGAGCAGCTGTAAGATTTTGTGACTAACTGGGTAAGAAGAAAAAGGTTAATGGCTGGAGATCATCGTAGCTGTTTTCATGGATGTAGGATCTACCTATATCACAGAGTCTAACTTCTTGTGATCATTGCCTACCCTCCCACCCTCTGTCACATTCCTCTGCCTGTTAAGCATGCAGGACTCCTACTGTTTCTTCAGTCTATAATATTTTCACTGATTCCCAGAAGCTGTATTTGAGTGTGAATCATACTGCTGTTCCGTGTTTTGACTTTGTCCATATAGTAGGAAGGAAGGTGATGAGAAAGGATGCCCATAGGAACCCTGTCCCTCCCCCCAGCGCTGGGACCCCTCATCTGTCTCTGATGCTCCACCCAGGGGTTGCTCATTCCTAGCTAACACCTGTGGGCTCGAAAGAGCTGACACCCCCCCCAGGCCAGTGAGTCACCCTTGCTTCAAGTCGGGCTGGGTTAAAGAAATCATCATGCTGGTTTACACTGTTAATGAGTCATTCCAGCTCATTAACACCCTCTTCTAGCAAGGCATGTAAGAGCCCTAGAGATGATTTCTCAGGATAAAATTAAAAGAATCTCTCTCCATTGACATCCAAAGGGGTGTGTGAGTTGCAGACCTGCTGTGTTGAAAACATGAGAGGGAGAGAAGGGAGAAGGGCTGTCCTATTGATCTCACCTAACTTCTTCAGCCACTCTCCTTTCTTGATAATGCAGCCAATGCCACCGGGGTAAACATTTTCCATAAATTCCCAAAGCAGTGGGCTGATGGGGGGAGCAGCTGCTCGCAGCTGGTCCAGGTTTGAAATAAAGATGCAGATGGGCTTTTCTTGAGGCCTGTCCTGCAAAAATCAGGAAGAGAGGAGGGGGAAAAATGGATGAGGAGAGAAAGTTTGTGTTGAGAAGATCGAAGGTCACTGGAATCCTAGTTTGTGTGCTTCCCAGGAACCAGGAGTGCCAAGCAAGCAAGATGCTCTCTCTGCACAGAATGCTGAGCACAGGAGGGGACTACGCCACAGCTCAGATCTGCATGTGCAAACTGAAGAAGAGCCCAACTAGCGGTCTGCTCTTGAGATGTTGGTGGGATGCATCCACATCCCCTGCTTTAGACACAACCAATGCAGGGACAGCAATTCTCTGCTCATTATCGTTGCCTTTAACATCTTAAACACCAGGGACCTGATTTTCTTCTAAGTTATGCTGATATAAATCGAGGTCAAACCCACAATTTACAGAAGGATAATGGAAGGAGACCCCAGCCCCCTGGAAACCAACATCTATATGACCATTTCTACAGTTTTTCAGTGCTTTGAAATAAGTTTGCTGTAAAATGAACAGTGATATAGAAGGCAAATAAAAGAGCTCACAAAGTGGTGTAATTTCAGTCCTCAGCTGACACCAGTTTCAGCAGGGCCAAATGACTAAAGAACTGGGCATGTATTTACATTCTGTTTATATTATCTCATCGACAGGGAAGGTTAGCATTGGCACCAAAGCAGAACAGAAAAGACTGCCTTTGTTGCTGATGTTCACACTAAGTGCCAGCTGAGATAGTCTGTTATGCTTATTTCTCCAGGCTAGCCAGGAAATTGCCTCATGGAGAATAGATGGGGCCGGGCTGCAAAAGTTGTATTGAAGGTGCAAACTTTGGGTCCGATTCCAGCACTGAATGACTCCAAAAGTCTGCAGAAATTTAGACCTGAGATTTCTGATTCAGCACTTCGTAAGACAGAGAGGATAAATACCAGTTTGAACCCACTTGTGACAAGTGTTGGGGTTGCTCCACTTTGGATTTGTGTTTTGTCACCCCAGTGAAGCAGAATGTAGCTGTCTAATTCCCAGAGCAGAGGGTGCTCTACCCTGCATTGCTCAGCTCAGAAAATGGTCTGTGACGTTTTGGTGTGGCTGCTCATAAACTCTATCCACAGTCAATTTCTGAGTCTTAGGACAACTTGAAACAAGGGGCTATCATTTCTGCTTCTGTACATAATTCGTCTATAGGACATAAGCAAGATCCAAGTAACAAAATGACAGCCTTGTATCCACACCTTGATTCTGTAGACCTTCTCGATGGCTTCAGGGTGTTTGCAGGAGGCTGCCAAAGCATACACAGTGTCTGTGGGGACCCCACATACTGCCCCTGTGTTCAGCAAGCCAGCAATGGTCCTCAGACCACTCGTACAGTGGGACTTGGGGCAGATGCAGGGCGGAGGATCTTCAGTGTCCTTCTCAGAGCTCTCAGCCTGGCAATAATCAGGAGGCAAGAAAGCCATTACAGTGGGAATAAGCAAACGTAAAACACAGGGTAGGATTCAGTCCACTCAAATGCAGCTATCTCTGTGCAATGCTCCCCTGATAGTCAAAGGGCAGAGGCAGCACTTCTAGGGATGCTTCACATAAAATAAGTGGGTTGAATGACAAAGAAGTGATTAGCTCTCCCCCAGTAATAAAGTCAAAGAGACTAGCTCAGGTGCAGACATTTGAACTGCTGATGCCTAAAATTACAGATTAATCCCACCCAGCACAGTGACTGCTTCCTGGAGAAATAACTGCCCTCCAAAATGACCTAAGGAAACTGTTAGAGAATCTTAAATCTAGAGAGAGTTGGGTAAGATCAAGTTGCAAGTGCTTTCGCATGAGTCTCTGTGGTTAGAAATGCTGATTTAATGAAAACATTTCTCTGCAGCAGGAATTGGAGCTGTCAGATCAATCAGTCCCAGTTTGGTGGAACTGCCTTGGTCAGACATACAAGGTGGTAGAAAAAGTTTAAAGTTAACAGACACAGTGGAGCTCTTGCTGTCCACTTTGGGAAACTTTTGAAACCCCCTAATTCCCTGCCCCCAAGGTTATGGACTTCAAAACTTCAGTCTGTCAACAATTCTTGGATTGGAGTTGGATAATTCCACAGGACCACGGAGACAGGCATTTTGGAGTCAGGTAGGAGTTTTGTAAATGTCCCTGCCCTTTCTCCAAGTTTCCATACATGTTATTCATAACAGAAGAGAGATTGTTTTCAGCTCATAGCTCCCTGAAGAAATGTTGTGACTGGGATTTCAAATGGTACTAACGGATTCAAAGGAAACATTCAATGGAAATTTGAACTCCCCTAGGTAAGACTAAAGACTCCAGGATGTCCCTCCAGACCAGGGAAGCTACAGCATCATGCAAAAAATTTCTTACTGTGAACAGAGGCGGTCCCATCATCATGAGATCCTTCCCAAACACGCTGTTTGCAAGTGATGCTGTTGCTCCGTAGAAGCAGATGATACTGAAGATGCTTAGCATCACAACTGGGAAAAAAAACAGAGTCAAAGGCAGGAAGGGTGATGACAAAGTTTTATTTTCTTCTATGTCTCATGACTTCCCAGCATTGCAAACTTACTTCAGTCTTTCCTGTCATGCAACATTTGCAGTCCAGCATATTTGTGGTCTAAAACTTCAAGGCATTTCCAGGCTTGTCTACCTGTGCATCTTTTGGCATATGGCTTTTTCTCTTTTTTTCTTTTTTTCTTTTTTTTTTTCCCCCCATGGTGGAAAAGATTCCATGAAGCATCTTGCTAAAACACTCTATGTAATTACAAATAAAATTCTCACTTGCTACAAAGCCAAAGCTTCAACAAAACTACAGCCATTCACACCAGTGGCATGTTTAGTTCATCCCAAATCTTAGTTCACTAAACAACTACTAGAAAGTAGGACTGTACAGAACCTCAGGAGATTATCATGGTTCAGCAATATCATCCACACTTTTTAGAAAGCTTAAGGACCTGAGGATGATACAAGGAACGGTTTCCTCCTCCAGTCATGGAGCTGGAAGGTTCAGCATCTGTAGCTTGCACACACACCAGTCTTACAGGGAAAGATGACACACTCTTCTGCTTGCTTTTTTCCATATTGAACTCATGCAGAACACTGTTCCCTAATGAGGGACCCTCTCACTACACTCTATGGGTGAAGGTTTAATGACCAAGTTTGCCTAAAACTCACTTTCAAATGGCAAAGGGAGGTTCTCCAATGTAAAGAGCAGAAAACAAATGGTCAAGAGCTCCATTGCAAGGGTCATGCAGAGAAGTACCACATTAAAAGAGGAAGCTGTGAAAAGAAATAGAAACAGGAGGGACCCATATCAGAGAATGGCCCATAAAAATGTATGTGAAACAGCAGAAGAGTTCCTAAATCAACTTAATCTTATTTGATAAAACTGAGCAGTCCATGATCTGACTTCCCTATTCATGTTGGAACAGAGCAGTACAGATATGGTTTGTTCAGCCCTCAGCTTTCAAGAGACAAGCTGCCAAACCCTTAATCTGCCAGTACACTGTGCTCACATGGAAAACACTTCTCAGGCAGCCAAGAGATTCTGATTTACAGCAGCTGGGCTCGAGGGTGACTGTGGATATATGCCACTGGCCCAGTCCGTCTAACACTTTCACCTTATTTGAACCTTTTATTTTCTTTGAAATGTTCTTCCGTTCCCTTATGACTGTTTCTTCTAAGCCCAACTCAGCTTCTGTTACTGGCTGTGCGCAAAACATTTCAGTTCTTGCTTAATCAGAGTGACAGAGAGAGCTGAGACTCCCTCACTTGTGCATCTCCACCACAGAGTGACCACAGATGTGATTAATGACCTGACCCCAGATACCCCTCAATAAACAATCACATATAGTACTGAAACTTACCTAAAATAATTAAAAATGCATTGAGCACCAAAAAGGCAATAGAACCAGCAGTGAATCCTTCATTGTTCCCCGCACCGATGTTCACCAAGTGGCCTGAAACAGGACCAGCAGATTTGGTTGTGAGCAAACCATTAAGTGCAGTGTAACAGAAGAGTGACATATCTGCAGTTGGAATGACTACAGTTCAAACTAGATGATGGTGGCTGCTATAAAGAAACTCTACTGCATCAAAACCCACTGCTTCTGCAATGCAAAGCTTTTGAGGTATTAACTGAGGAACTGATGATGGCTATCCAAAAAAGCTGATGATTTTATCTCCAGTTTGTAATAAACAGGGTCTGGCTGAAAACATTAATAGCTTCTTGCTATACCTCTTAAACAATAACTTTAACTTTCTCCACAAGTGCTCATTTTAATAGGACCTGGCATGGAGGCTATATGAACATGTTGCCCACCTGGAGCTAAATAAGGCTTTTTAAAGCCCAGGCTCATCATTCTAAGATCTTTTTTCTTGGGTATGACCAACCAAGACAAATTGCTCCAGGTTTCTGAAGGATAAATCCAGAACCTGGAGTCTTTCACTGCCTGAAAAGCATCTCCTGAACTCTGAGATAGGAGTCTGGAGACAGTCTAAGTGCTGTCTTACATCAGTTTAGTAGAGAAATCTTGACCTCTGTTGGAGTCAAAGACACAACTTAGATTCCTGTGGCTGTGAGAGTACCAAGTGGCTGCAGCAATGGCAATCAATTACAAGAGTATCAGCTGGGATGTTTGGTCATTATCTTTTCACAAGGAGGAATATTGGTAAACCCATTGTCATTGAATCTCCTGGGAGAAGGAATTATGTTGGAGAAAGCAATGTGAAATTTCCTAAAAATATCCTTTTTTTTTTTTTTTTAGTAAGAAAAATTATAATCCTGACCTTGCATTACCTGCAAACCGAAGCCAGGTCCATGCTCCCCAGAAAGCAGCGTAGCAGAATGGAAGAATGCAACCAAACCTTCTCCCGCCTTGAACCTGGATCCTGCAGACATACAGCTGCATTAGGGCTCCTGGGATGAGCACAG